GCAGCGCCATCTGAAGCAAAGAGCATACTTCCTGCGGACACTTTTTTGGCCGAGTGGCCCATCTTGTTATTCACTATCTTTGCCAATACCCTAGTTCTATTCAGTATGTGGAAACATAACCACGGCGGAAAAAAAACCTATACGCTCTTATACTATCTCTGAGCGTCTAAGACCAAACCAACAAAGTTTCATTCTACCCGACAGAAGGAACGCCCGCTTGCATAGAGCTAGTATAGTCGTAGTAAATAGAAGAAGACACCCGCACCAGTCAGATTGCTTTTCGAGTTTTGTTTGGGTCTTCGTGGTGTGACATTTTTTACGTTTAAAGATTTTAGTAAACAGGCGTCTTATTGGTAAAGAAGTCGTCCGAGTGGGGCTAAATAAAGGTGCAAGCTCCAACCCACCAGATGTCGCTGCCAAGTTTACTTAAAATCCTTTTACTCAGAAGTGGGTGGTTGGTGGTTGCTCTGTGGTGGTTTGCTCCTCCTTTCCTATCAAGCGCCCATCGTCCTAATCTCTCCTCTTTCTTTTCTTTGTATGTTACTCTCTAGTAGTAACACCCCTTGTCTTCGGTATTCATTATATGACCTGTGTTGCAAGTGCCATACAATTTCGTAATACGTTCTTACTTAAAATTTAAAATCTTACTTAAATATCTTTTTTAAAACCCTTTTCGTTCAGAGGTTGACAGTCACATGGCTTGGTTGTCCGATGTACAGTAGCCTGCTCTAGAGATGACCGTCATGAGTCGAAAGTCTGAGCTGGTGGACGCCGCGAAAGCGAACGATCTCGAGGTTGTGAAGAGGCTGCTCCATCTGGGGCATTCGGTGGACGAAAAGGACAAAGATGGTACAACTGCGCTCTCCTGGGCCTGCTGCTACGGTAAGTTGTATGCATGGTTCTTACGCTAGGGTATGGTGCGGATGGCTGTGTTTCGAATCCGCAGTGGGCTTGGGCTGTTTGGAGATTTTCCGTGGCTATAAGTCAACTTCGTTTGGTACTTTCAAAGGAAAAAAAATAATTTTGAGGTTTCGCCTCTTAAACAAGCCTAACGTTTTGGAAGGTTCGTTGAATTCGGAGAAAATGTATGGCTTATCACATATGTCTGATTGAGGAAATGCGAAGTCAAAAGAACAAGTTGCGTGTAACCTTAATTGCACCAGTTTCAAACCTCGATCGTTCCCATGTTTACACTTCTGTTAGAACTCCTAAATATGAAATATGATTTCGTAGTTCTATGTCTGTTTACAACTTACTTTTCTAAAGAATCGTAATTTTGAATTTTTGTCGATAAGGTTTGCTGTAATTTGTGCTTGCGTGTTAATGAAAAATCCAACAACTATTTATATACCTTACAAGCATAGTCTTTTTTAACTATCAAAAAGGCATGCCATTTTGGTGGGGATTTTTTCTTCAATGATGTTCGTGTACCTGGTTTTTAAAAAAATATTTGCATGTTTTATAATACGTAGGCCTACTTTTGTTTTTATTACACCCCAAAAAGCTTATATCATAACAAGAATCGTTTTTTAATCCCCCACAGTTATTCTCATCATTACTCATACCACCAACCGCAGGTCTCAAAGATATCGTTCGATTGCTCATCGATGCCGGATGTGACGTCAACTCCCAGAACTCTTACAAAGCCACTCCATTATTGGGAGCAGCCGACAATGGCCATGCAAGCTGCGTGGAGCTTCTCCTTCAGGGGTAGGTCTTGTTTCTGAATGAATGAATGAATGAATGGATGAATGAATGAATGAATGAATTAATTAATTAATTAATAATTCCACTTTCATTGATCTCTGTGGGGAAATTTGGTTTACAATGGCGTACTGGCCTTTTGCGTATTGACAAACGATCTTTAAAAAAGTTAAAGCACGTAGCCTACGCATAATACAGCTCTGCCTGGACGGTAGATACAGAGGAAGTAGATTGCCCAAGTGCTACGTCCCTCACGTCTGATCTTGACTTCCTAGATATGCTTCAAAGGAGAGACATCGTCAGTACATTTCCAATAAAAAAATGCGTAAGGGTGTGTCTGGCTATTTCTTTTTTCTTCTATTTCAGATCTCATGAGTAATCGGCCGCGGTTCTTCAACCTCTGCAGCGCTACTTATTTTTTTATGTATTTTACTGTTTTTCCTATTTAGTAGGGCCCTTGCATCAGGTCAGGCAGCTTCGTTCCGATTTCGAAAGTACTCTGCGTGGTTTATACTTTGGTAGGAATTTTGAATTTTTTTTCCGGGTGGCGGCCGAAGCCTACTCATATCGGTTTTAGGACCACGAAGGGATCTTTAACGTGCGCAACTTGCGTAATATATATTAAGCATACATAAATATATACACATATAGATAAACTCATACTGAAACGTATAGAAAAAGTGGAAGCACGCAATCGTTGGTCGCCACTGTGCGGCGCCCTGTTATTTTAGACGAAGACAAAAATTGATACTTGAAATTTTACTCTGCTTGACATGCACTGAATAGGTATCTTTTGGAAGGCCCTTCACAGTTGTAAGGTAAATGTTGCACGCGTAGAAGTCTATTATACCAAAGATAGTACAAGACAAGATGGGCCACTTCTCTCTTTGAGCCAATTAAAAAAGTGTCCTCAAAATTTGGTGGCGCCCTCTTCACAAAAGCGCATTCTTTGCGAACAGAGTTATCCTACTTGAGTTTTAAAAAATCAAAGTGAAACTAGCAAGTTTTGGGATA